GAGAGAGAGAGAGAGAGAGAGAGAGAGAGAGAAGGCTCAATGAGATTAGTAATTAAGAAGGGACTCAGGCCGGACATAGTGAGTACTAGGGACACTGAGACAGGAGGATCATTTCGAGTTGGGAGGCCAGCTTGGGTTACAAAGTGAGTGCAACACCAGCCTGAACTGCATGTCTGAAAAAGACAAGACAAAAAAAAAAAAAAAAAAAAGGATTCCCGTAAGGTATTTGGGCCCTTCGGGAAGGGTACTTAGAAATGGTTGAGGAAGCTATTCTTATTTGAACATAATAGGACACCTGACTAGGGGAGTGTCATTTATTATTTTCCTTTTAGTTTGCTCATCCTTATGCGTTGTCAGTGATTTTCCTACGAGTTTCATTGATTTGACGAGTATTTGATGCATATTTTGCTTGATAGTATATAATAAACTATAGGAGGTATAAAAATGTCCTAACTTTTTTCTAGAAATTTACAGCTTCATGGGCCAGAGGGAAAGACAAGACATCACATGAATAAGAAATACAAGCAAATAAGAAGGGGAATATAGAACAAGTTGAGTTAAATGTCTTTAGAGGTCCATTGGAAGGGAAAGATCAAAATCAGACTGTGAAAAAAGGTCAGAAAAGGCGTCACAAGGAGTTGTTTGATAAGTGAATAAGATTTTGAAGGTCAGTAGTAACAGCATTTGAGGGGAGGAATGTTGTGGGTAAAGATAAAGACAGAAACATCCTGGATTTATTTTGGGAGAATCAAGATGAGACTGTCTAGTCCAAAGGCTGCTGAGAGAGCTGGGATCTTCGACACTTTCTGAGTGAGGGATCTAGGGAAAAAGGATTTTCCTTTTTACCTGGCTCATTTACTCGGTGACAGGTTGAGGTGAGCCAAAACTCTTAATTGTAACTTCCTTTTCTGTAATTGTTAAAACATAACTCACGAGCTTGTAGGGATCAAGCAAGGTATGTGGGAGGTTTTGGCACATTATTATAAATGTGCCAAATTACAATATATGTATGTATACATTATGTACTTTGACACATTGAAAACTCCTTTAGGGAAGTGAAAATAGGCAGAGATATGTGATACCTAATACAGTGTGGCTGCTGCTTTAGATTCAGGGTGTTTAAGGAGAGGGAAAGAGATTTTCACTTTCTGGATGACTGGAAGCGTAGTTGACAGAACTAGAGAGGTCATAAGGAAGAAGAGCTGGTTTACTAGGGAAACTGATGAATTCCACTTAGAATAAAGACAATTTGCAGTGCTGGTGAAAAAAGGGAGTCAGAAGAAAGCATGTGGGGGTCTGTGTGGTGGGCAGTTGCCATGTGACTTAGAGATCGGGAAAGAAGTGAGGCTGACACACAGTTGGGCTTCACTTGTCAGCATTTCCTGAAGGCTTACAAGCACACAAGCTTTGCTGTGCAGGGAACGTGGCCCCCTAAAATCCCTATTTTGAAGCTTACTTCCATGTCATACACAGTATTTGCAGATGGAGCCTTTGGGAGGCATGTAATTAAATCATGAAGGTGGAGCACTCCTGAATAGGATTAGTGCCCCTGGAAAAACAAAACAAGAGAGAGGATTTCCTTCTCTGCCATGCAAGGGTATATAGTAAGAAGGTATCTATCTGCGGTCCAGGAAGAAAGTTCTCACTAGACATTGAATCTGCTGGCACCTGACCTGGGCTTCTCAGCCTTAAGAACTGTGAGAAATGTTTGCTCTTTAAGCCACCCATTCTGTAGTATTTGTTTTTTGTTTAAGAATGTTTTAATTAGATAATGTAAGAGCCAACATGAACACTTTGTGTTCAAGTTCAGATTTGTAATGAACATATAAAAATCCTCTCTATAAAAGTTACATTTAGTCATTTGTACCTATGTTAAACTTGTTGCATTAGGAATGGAGAACAGTAATTTAAATTATAATTTGGAAACCATGAAAATCCTGAAATACTCGGTTCAATGTTAACGCTATTCAATTCAAAGCAGAGTTTAAATTCACAAGTTTTATCAGTCTTTAGTATTTTAAAATAATTTATATGAATATCACCAGTTCAACAAATACTACTGTCAGCATACAGGTACAGATTATGTTCTAGATATTAGTAAACCATAGGTAAGGTAAGGTAAGGTGCTCTCTGAGGTGCTAAGTTTATTGGTCAGTGAGCTTTTTCCTGTTTTTCCTCTTCTGCCATTTTCTGTTGGTGAACGGTGTCCTGTGCTGCTTGGTGCATTTTCTCCAGTTTTTCCAGAGTCAGAGATTTTAAGGGTAAAAGTTTGGGTTTACACAGCACCGTTGTGGTTACGTCTTCCACTGACAATTCCCCTTGTTTTGGAAGAACCTCCCAGAACACTGACTTCACATCCGCCATGTTGCCAATACGATGTTTTCCTGAAAGTTCTGCTCTCTCTGGCTTTTTTTTTTTTTTTTTCAGTTTTAGGCTCCAATCTATTATTATCAAGATGACTGAAAGTTCTTGATTCAGACCTACAGAAAGAATTATTTTTTTCTTTTCTCCTTTTTTGTTTCAGTTTTTTTTTTTTTTTCCGGTACTGGGAATTGAACTCACGACCTTGCGCGTGCCAGCCAGGTGCTGTGCTGCTGAGCTAAATCCCCAGCCCCTACAGAAAGAATTAATCGGTGCTCAGAGCTCCATTTTGCAGGAGTTAGGGAGCCACCTTGCAGCCTGCTCCTACCCGTTAATGCCCTCCCCTGTAGTGTTTGTTTTGACAGCAGGTGCTAAAACAAATTTTGCCAGATTATGAGAAGACTTAATTTCTTGCTCTTGCTTAAGGCACTTATAAGCTGGAGAATGAATTTCATTAGAAATTTCAGAGGAAGTAAAATAACAGTAGCTGATCTTTATTGAGTACTTGCTGTGTACTAGGTATGGTTCTAAGTGTTTTATATGTTTCAGCTTGTTTAAGCTTTAAAACAACACAGTGAGGTGGCTCTTACTAGCCTTATTTTACCCTCATTTTCAGATAAGATCTCTGAAGCAAAGTGATGTTAAGTAGTTTTCAGAGTCCCAAGTTAATATATGGTAGCACCAGGTTCAAACCCAGATATTTGGACTCTTTAAGTGTTTCACTCATACATAATGCTTGTAGCTTATACTAGCCAGGTGTGTTGGCACACATGTGTAATTACAGCTACTTGGGAGACTGAGGGAGGAGGATTAAAATAACTGAGACCTTGTTTCAGAAAACAAAACCCAGTACATACCACCAAAAATAACAACAAAACAAAACTGGGCGGGGTGGCACACACCTGTAATCCTAGCATTCTAGGAGGCTGAGGCAAGTTTGAGCCTAGCCTGGATAACTTCGTGAATTAGCAAGACCCTGTTGCAAAAATACAAAAATAAAAAAAGACTGGGGATGTAGATCAATGTAAAGGGCCTGAATTCAATCCCTAGTACCTCCATCCACAAAAAGAAAAAAGAAAAAAATCAAGCTGTGGATGAAACTCAGTGGTATAGCGCTTGCCTAGGTGTTTAATCCCCAGTACTGCCAGAAGAGAAAGGGAAACTTGGTTAGGCATGCCTAGAAAGTGATACAGATCTTTATGTGTAGACTAGTGCTTAGGCTTCACTGCAAGTACAGTAAGCCTCTTTCTCTCTTTTTTTTTTTTTTTGGTATCGGAAATTGAACTCAGGACCTTGCGCTTGCCAGGCAGGCGCTGTGCTGCTGAGCCATCTTCCCAGCCCAGCCTGTTTCTCTTGATGTTCTGATGAAGAAAGTAAATTATTAGGCCAGAAATATAGCTCAGCAGCACAACACCTGCTTGACAAGCACAAGGTCCTGAGTTCCCCAGTACACACACACACAAAAGAAAAGAAAAATGAAAGAAGGAAAATAAATTATCGTGGTTTATTTCGTATACTCTCACTCTCTTGATCAGTCATGAACTGTGAGTGGGCCTATTTGAATCAAGGTGTCCAGTAAAAGAGGTGGTGGTTGAGTCTCCAGCAATAGACAGGATAGTTTTTGGTTTGTAAGCAGCATAGGATGGTGATGGCAAATACTTTAGAGCGTTCAGTGGTAACAAACAACCGATTGTGGTGCACATGCTGTAGATCTGCCACCACTGGCATAGGAGGTCCGTAAGTTATTTACAGTGAATTTATGAATGGAAGACTTTTATGTATTTCAAGTCTCAAGTTGCAGGAAATAATTCACAGAGATCCTGGTTTAAGATATATAAATGAAGTTGGGTTCAGTGGTACATGGCTGCAGTCTCAGCTATTTGGGAGGCTGAGGCAGGAGGATTGCAAATTCAAGGCCAGCCTCAGTCCCCAGTACCCTCACACACCATATGTGTGTGCACATGCACGGCTGAGATGCTTTCTGATAATTTCTCAAAATAATAGCTTCCATAGTGTGTCTGCTATATGCTGGGTACCTAGACTACATAATACTAAGTGTGTTACTTGGCTTTAGCTGAACATTTTGTATTTTTAGCATGTGAACTTATACCAGAACTTGATTATAATTTCTGTTAAAAAAGCATTAGTTTAAAATTAATAGTATGTTTGATGCAGTAAGGCAAAAGTTATAATTGTAGCTAGAACAAATAATAATCTACATTTATTATGTTAAAGTAGATCATTGTTTTTGTATTGAAAAAGTTAAACTTAATTTTTAAAAATTATTTTGAACAGTATCTTTTTTTTTTTTTTTTTTTTTTTTTTGGTACTGGGAATTGAGCTCAAGACCTTGTGCCAGGCAGATGCTGTGCCACTGAGTTATATCCCTGGTTTAAAAATTATTTTGGTACACACCTATAATTCCAGTGATCTGGGAGGCTGAAACAGGTTGATGACAAATTCAAGCCCAACCTGAGCAATTTGGAAACTTAGTGAGGCCCCATCTCAAAATAAAAAAATTAAAAAGAGCTGGGGATGTAGCTCAGTGTGAAGGCTAAGGCTTCCATCCCTGTTGGGGACAGGAGAGTTGTTTGATGGGTGTAGTCATTTTTAATTTAAATGAGAACCAATTTTGCCTTTGGTGAAATGCTTATATGCTAATTATATTATATGTTATTATATAAGGAAGAACTGCATCTTTTTTTTTTTTTCTTTTGTCTTTTTTGAGACAGGGTCTCCTTATGCAGTTCAGGCTGGCCTTTTGCTCACTTTGTAGCTCAGGCTGGTCTTGAACTTGCAGTGATCCTCCTGCTTCAGCCTCCCTAGTGGTGGGATTACAGGCGTGCACCACCACGCCTGGCTAGAACTGTATCTTTTAGTATATTGTCTTACATACCAATTAAATTAACTACCTGTAAGGTACTAAGTTAGAGCCCCAGTTTATTTGACACTATGCATGAAATAAATTGTCTAAAATTACTTGATTAAATGTAACTGTAGCAAGACAATTAAGTTGTGGCAACTGTGATTGTAGAGTTAAGCTGCAGTATCTATTGAAAGAGAATTTCTAATCTTTCGCAAAGGTGCTTCTGTAGGCTAGGTTTCAATGAGCTATTTTATGAAATTATGTCACCTATAATTGCTTGAACCTAAGTAGGATCCTGTAACAAGGAAGATCTAGTGTGAAAGCGTATGTTTAGTTAGGGTTCTGGAATTAGGATACTTAAGTTGAAGTTTTAACTCTGTCACTTACAGTTTATTCTTTAGTAACCCTTTATGCCTGAACCTCAGTTTCTTCATCTCTGAAATATAGGTAATTCCACTACTGACTTGGCAACATGTTTTGATGTACACTTGCACATAGTAAGTGTTTGCTATTATACAGCATCTTTATGTTCTAGTAAAATTACATTTTATTAAATGTACATTTTAAATGGAGCTTTTACTCTAGCAGCATAAGAAAATACTTCCTTGTCAATAAATATTTTTACATGATTTTTGATATCTGTAATACTTCAGTATGCTGTTTGTCAGTAACAGTTTCATTATTATTCACAAAAGATTATAGCTGACATTTTGCTCATTACAGTCATATAAAACAACACTCTTAAATGTGAATCTTTTGTAGTGCTCCTCTTTTAAGCAACAGTCCATAAAACATGCATATAAAATTATACTCTGTACAAGTTTTCTATAGACATGAAATTTCACTTCATTTTGGGAGTTGAGTTAGAGGTGGTTTCTCAGAGCAGAGCAGAAGGAGCTAACCTGCAATTTATGCCAGCAGTCAGGAATGGTACACATAAGTAGCTCTTTTTAAATTACTGGGCCACTCTTTTTAAATTCCTGACATTTGTATAGAAATATTACCCTAGACTTCAGTTTTATTTAAGTTCAGAGAAATGCAGAGAAATTTACTCCATTCAGAAATACTCTAGACCATTTTTGAGTCGTAGGAACAGTACTATAATTTGTCCCCCCCCTTCTCTCAAGCAGTCTCATTCCAGTCAGTAGTGTAATTGGAACACAGCTCTAATCTGGAGGAGGAAGGGACATTTTAGGCAAGGACATACTGAGCAGTTGGAGCTTTATTCACGTGAAACATAGGCAGCCATTCATTATGAGTACAACTCGGTGAGAACACGCAGCATTCTATTGCTACAGCTGGGATTTACTCTATTATTACATGCTGTGTTACATAAAGATACGTTTTGTGCTGGGCATGGTGGCGCGCGCCTGTAATCCCAGCACTCAGGAGGCTGAGGCAGGAGGATTATTTTGAGTTCGAGACCAGCCTGGGCTACAAAGTGAGCTCAAGGCAAGCCTGAACTGCCTAGAGAAACCCTGTCCCAAAAAGACCAAAAAAAAAAGTCTTCCAACTAAATTACTGACTTAACTGAAAATGATATTTATTGTCAGTTGCACTTCTGCAAATGGTTTTTTTCAGTTGCTGTATTGATTGAAATATATACTAAAAGAGATTTTTGTAAAATTTAAAATTTTTTTTGAGAAAAAACAAAAGGCATTTATGGCACAATATTTGAGTTATACCTGACCTGTGAGCTCTGAGGGCAAAGAGCCATGTCTTATTTATTGATTGATTGATTGACTGAGTGCAAACAAGGTCTTTCTGTGTAGCCTAGGCTGGTGTGGAATTTGCAGTCCTCGTCCTTCAGCATCCCAAGTGCTGGGATTACAGTTGTGTACCACTATGCCCAGTATATCAGTTAGGGTTAACTAGAGGAACAGAATATATATATTGTAAAGGATTTACAGGGTAGGTGTACAGTGGCCACCTGCAGGTGCGGAAGAATGCAAAAGGGTCATCTGTGTGCTGGAGATCTGAAGGATCCAGTGAAGGTGGCCTGGCTCTCACTGCGGAACGCTGTGTGAGTTCATAATCTCGTGTAAAGGGTTTGTGGTGCTGAAGAGTCTGCACTCTAAGCCTGGAGACAGACATCCAGAGGTGATGGTGAGAACTGGACCTCCTCTAAAGAAGCAGAAGTGAGACTTCCTTGTTCTTTTCTTT